TCTTTTTGCGTCAAAGCTTCTTCTGTTTAAGGTGCACGAAGCTCCGTTGAAAACAACCTGTGCGTTTGACTTCTTGCAAAGGTCTATCACTCTCAGCCACATCGGGTCCAATTCATGGTGATTACTATGGTACTTTGACTTTACTTCTGAGCCTTGCTCAAAATGTGATAGTTAATTGTGTAATAAGTAGTCAAGCCTTAACAGGGCCCACATCCCAAAACACCTGCTATCACCACAATGGTAACACTACTGAGGTCAAAACCTACCCTGTTCAAACGCCAGCATGGTCACAGGCTATTCTGTTCACAGTTACATACTACCATTAATATCGTGGCGCCGTGCATTATGCACAAAGAAAGCTTTGCCCTGGGGTGTTTGCGTCCACAAGTTCCTCTCAGGTGTGAAACCAAAACACTCTTGAGTAATGATTAATTTTGTTCGCTCTGCGTTTAAAATGAAGCTCAACAATCTGTTAATTGGTTGCTGAACGGTACCCATAGGCTGTACGTATCGCTTTATCAATGCGCGACGTCACTGTTGTGTCATGCGCCAATTCATAAGATAGGCGACGCATTAGCGCATCCGCCACAACATTAAGCCCGTTCGCCTTGTGCCTTGCACGATGATAATTTTCTTCACCGAGTATTTATTCTGTAAAGAGGGTGTGCATCGTGTCTTTCAATTCAAAGGCAGTGGTGACGATGTCGCGGTGCGCACGACGCATAAATTTTCGAATCGCAAATGCTTTCATGTTCAACAGAGCTTCCCTGAACTAAACAAGCGTATTTACTCTTGACGTAGCTTCTCTGAACTGGACAAGAATGAATACTCATGTCTAGCTTAGGTGAACTCTGCTGCAAGAAGCTCCTGGATAACTCTTTTCGGTTACGGCAAACTGAACAAATCTGAAACACTGACGATTCTACCCATTAATATCTGCTTGAAGTGAGACCCAATCTATAACAAACGATAGAGTGTAATCGCCAGTAAAAACTGGAAAATCTGAGTTTGAAGCGCTAGAATCGAGGACCCAATCGGCATTCTCTCATAGCATTAAGGATCGTTACTTTCGCCGCATCCCCACAACCATTTGACATCTTTTGTAACAAGATTTGCGCATGTTGACATGAACGGTACTATACATAACAAAGTAGTTGATCAATATCATCCATTTTTTTAATTTAATTTGGTGACCTATCAGCGGCGGCCTTGAGCCAGGCGGATCTGCAAGCAGATCTTCCTTTCAAATAAAGATTCCAGAAAAGCAAACATCGTCGGCCCACAGATACTTGTCTACATTAGTAAGAGCCCTGCTAGTGTTTGACGCAGATATTTACAATCATTTTTGTGGTTCGCGGGACAATTGACGAATCTATCTTCAAAAACGATCAGTGTTGTATGGCCGAAATAGCTTCGTCACCAGACGATTGATCATCGTTGGGGTGTAAGGCAGTCCTTGAGGCATAACCAGCCACTCTCAGAGTATCCCGGTAGTAGCACCCACTGATGTGAGAGAAATATTCCTATCCCACATGAGCAGTGGAGAAAACCAATTCAGTTGAGAGGGTTGTAGCTAACCACGCTGAGCCACAGCACATTTCTCCCAAGAAATGGCGTTTGTGACGGATGAGTGAATGCTTAAGATTGTTAGAAGCGCACGCAATTTCCACTTACAGTAAGTCTAAAATGAAAGGTCAGCACCAAGTTTTACCATTTTTTTACCCTCATCAAATTAGTTTTATGCTTTGCACAGTCGAAAACGTATACAGATATTCTGTTATATTGGTAAGGGCCGATAACGTGTGACCCGGTATTGGACTCCAAAATCAAGTCAATGTTATGACGATCCTGGGGAAACATATCAGCATGTGATCGATGTGTGACTTCTCCCTAAACACTTTCTTAAATGTGCTGTATTTGACATAACATTGGATGTCGGCTTCTATTATCATCACAGCGCACTAGTCAGTCTTGTCGAGCTCATCTTCCATACATGAATCGGATCATCTGCTAAGGCGTGCGATCCATTTGCTCAGCAACCTCGTTTTGCTCCAGTTATATTACACTGTGATTACTTGGTCAATTAACTTGCACTTTCAGACAGTTCCTCTATGTTATCATTGATTTCATACCACCTTCACCTTCATACCGGTAGTCGTAGTAGCGTCTTGACAATGAATCATTATCACCTCATATATGTCGCTCTTCTTGCGGAATGGAGTAATTTTCATGTTGCGGCCTCCTATGATGATAAGAATCGCTACGTACCTGAATAGATTTTCAGACGTTGAAGATATATACCCACAAATGTTTGTGCACACCAAAATATTTAAAGATGCGTTTCCCTGAATAAAAGGTTTCGTCATTGATCTTGACAGCTAGCGAGTATGGTTGGCCATTTCGCTTGCTCGCATATGATTACTGGTATTATCAATGTGTAATCGACCTTTTCCTTTTTAGTTATCTTGTTCATTGGGTATGTGCCGTACGATTCATGACTGGTCGTCGATGCCAAAGTTCTGCATCAGTATCCACTAAGTGACATTCATTTATAACGTCTATGTTGAACCTTGTTTGTAGACAGCCCCTACTGGCAAATCCTTGCGCTTAATCATTTACTCGTTGCGGGATATTTCTCCGTCGTTCCGCGCGCCGTCGCTGCTGTGAAAGACAGCTATTTTAATCAGACTTTCAGCGTGTGAGTTAATTTTGGATGTGTTTTAATCCACGAGCATCCGTTCGAATTCTCATCCATACCATACCATACCATACCATACCATACCATACCATACCATACCATACCATACCA